TTACCATTTCACAGTATTTTCATCCAAAAGATTTAACCAGTCCTCATGATCTTTGCTTTCCCAGCTCCTGCCTTCCCATGGTAATGGAGAAAATAAAAAATACAAAATGTTCACAAATTACACTTAGTACCTTAGAAGAAACATATTATCAGAGGTGATCTGTACATTAGTCATTAGAGCCAACAACTTCAGCACTTGCTTTCCCAACTGTAGTTCAAATTGTTATTATTTTTTAAATATACATGTATTGCATGAATCTATTTCTTGGAGTTACCTTTTAATTGTGGAGAGATTCTGAATTTGTTGTCTTCATCATGAATAAATCCCTGTATTTCACTTGCAATTTCTGGCATTTCATGCTGTAGGAAACATTCAGACACAATCTCATGTGACACTAAAGTCACTGTACCATGTCTCTCAATATCATTAAAATAAGGAATCATCTCTGCTTTAAAATGCAAAGAAAAATTTCACAGCTGCATTATTTTCTCCTTTGGAGAAAAAAATTTTGGGATCTTTTTTAAAAAGGACAGAATGAAAACCAACATTGGACTGAGAGAACAAGAATTTCCTTTACCTTTTAAAAAACCAAATGCACAAATAGTGATTCTTCAGTTACTTTGCCTCACTTCTTTGAAGCTAAAACATCTCTTTAGCAAAACCAGGAACTGAAGGGAGAAGCCAGTCTATAAAGCTCAGATGGGGTGACAAATTAAGTTTCAAAACTTTGCAAACAAGTTGCTCTGAGACAGTTTTCCCACAGCTGAATCTCTGCCTTGTTTGTTCTGATTTCTCACAGGTAGTTATGGCATTGGCAGTTTGAAATAACTTGCTGATATTCAGCATGTTGTTTTATTTCCTCTCCTATAGTTGGTTTGTGCTGGTTTGACATCTTGATTCAGCACTGTAAAAAAAGCAGATTCCGTTTACTGGAATTTCTGCAGTTGACTCAAAAATACCAATTCAATTTCTCAGTACCTTCATTAAGGGAAACATACTTAACCTTACATTTGTTTGCAGAAACAAGTAGCCATTCATCAGGAACAAAAGGAGCATCCCACTCTCCCTGGAGTAAGTTACAACTTTGGTCAGGGATGGATCCAGCCTGAGGCTTGGTTTCCAGAAGGCTTTTCTGCTTTGGAGTACAGTCTCATAAAAGCCATTGCAGAGCCACTTCAGTACTCTGAAGTGTTGACCTTGCATAACACCTTAAGGTTTTCCACCTGCTACAAGCTGTGCAAGAGAAGAGGGAGAGCAGAGGCAGCAATAATGGCAAAGGACCAGGTCAATGCAAGGTGCTATCTGTGAAATCCAGATTATCATAGTAAACATGAGAATTGACAACATAAAATATTCATAAGCCAGCTGCTCATTCTCCTCTATTTCTGGGGACAAACCTTGGCTCTTGCTTCTACCCACCCTTTTGGAACAGATACAGATTTTGCCTGGATGAGGGCTCAGGAGGCTCAAGATGATGCCCCATTAAGCCCATGCCTCTCTGCAGAAGTTCCTCCACAGCCAACCAAACCCTGAACAACCCATTTTCCCTCAAAACCTCTAGGTCACACTGTGTGATTCAGCTGGCAAAATACTCATCACTGCTGATGGAGGAAAGAAAATAATCATGGTCCTTAATACCCTCTTGCCAGCAGGTTTTTTTTAAGCTGTGGGAAAGGGAAGCTGTGGTTTCGTGAGATACTCTTCAGCTTTAGTATGCCAAAATATCAGATGCAAAAAAGGTGCTTATATGCATCTCTTTGAACTTATGCTGTTTCCACTAATCAATTTCACCACTCTGCTTTGCTGCTGCCATCAAAATGTACTCTCAGTATATGAAGCAAGGCTCTTCAACAGTTTTTCTAAAGGATGTGGGCTGGAAAAAGCAGAGGAATAATGGATGTGACTAAAAGGATGTTTTCAAGTAGCTGGTTTATAATACATGTGAAATCTAAATTTCAGTATATTGGTCACAGACTTAGGAATTTCAGAGATGCCTGGGTAGGTTCTTCCCATACAAAGCTATCTTATACACAGTCTGCACACAAATCTGAAACACTCATCTCTACCTGTGTACCACACTCAGGAACTACAGAATGTCAGGAAAGGGATGCTAAATGCAATAATCTTGCTGAGCACTAGAAACCAGCACCTGTTCCAAAGCTCCAGAAATAAATGGTGTTGGGAACTTGGAGAGATCCTGATGGTGGTTGTTCAGATGAGGTCTTCAACTTTTTCAATTTCTCTCTGCAGCAGAGATCTCTTTTTCTGAACCAGACATATCTTCAAATGGCTCAGAACCAATTCTCCAAAAGCCAGCCATTGTAGAATTCTCTCATCCTCTGCTTTTAATACAGTATTATTAAAATAATAATAATAATAGGGGGGATCTCTACCCCACTATTCAGTAATGGTTAAAATATGTACTTTTTTCTTAAATTCCCAAACTTCCAAACAAATTACTATGAAAAGTACAAGATAATTTCAAATCTATTGGACAAATTTTTAAATTCCTCACTTAACATTAAAAGACAGGATTCCTGTGAGCTTCAGGCTAACAGAACAGAGCTTTAAAACTTCTCATTTTTATTCCTAGGAAGTAGCTGAATCTTTATGCTCTTCCTCAATTTTCCCAAAACTTGAAGGATGTAACAGTTGTGAGGATCTCTAGAATTTGTCTTGAGAGGAAAATAATTAAAATAGCTATTATTTTCATTCAGTAAAACTGTGACTTTTCTTTGGTCTTTCTTCCTTAATTTAAAAATAGCAAACGATAAAGCCTTCAGAAATTATACTTAAGTGATTAATTATGAAAATCATTACATACTTGACTGATTGTGTGGCAGCATTGATGAGGTATTTTCTACTGAGACCCAAAGTCAGATTAAGTAACACAAGTGAACACGCAGTTATTAATACTACAGTATCTAGAGAATGGTAGGGATGACAAAAGTAGATCTCTTTGCCACGAGCTGCCACTTCTGGCAGTGTGACTCCAGAGGAAGAAGCAGCCAGGCCCAGAACTGCCAGTGGGAATCAGCCAGCCTGGTGCCACTGACATCAATCAGGGGCTGCTGCTCCTGCTGCTCTGCTGGTATCTGTGTGTGCGCAGACACAAACACACTTTCTACATCCACAGTCTGAGAGGCCGATTTCACACAACTTTTATTTTGGCCCTATGATTAGAAAAACTCCTCAACTTAGAAAAACAATAAAAAATGTTCACAGCAATGCCTGTGAGTTTTAGTAGTTTCTGTACCGTTGATGGCACAACAGCCCTGAATTTGCTTTATGTGCTAATTTAATCAATTTAGGCTTAAAATGTTCCCAGGGCAAAAATTAGGGCTATGTCTAACAAGTACATTAAGGCTTATTATGGCTATTAAGCATAGGGAGTCACCCTTGTTGTGACTGCACATTACATTTGAAAGCTGTTCTGGGCAGTGTGCTGATTCTCTAATCAAACCTGCGTGGGAGGTACTTTTTGGTGACATTTAGAAACCTTCAATTACAAACCAGCTAGCTAAAAGGGCAAAGAAATGGGTTTTCCTAAACACAGTGACAGAAAACAAAAACAGACATTGGACATAGGCAAAGAACTGGACCTTCTTTTTGCATTCTGTTTTTTACTTTTAGTTCTGTTACTTTGGTATCTTAAGAGATTCAAAATGAATAAATAGCCCAGTATCTGAGGGGAAAATAACCTTGTTATTTGAGGAATCAAAGATTTTGAAATTGCCCAAGAGACAGAAATCAAAGATATTTTGATCTTGCAACATTCAAAATATCAGGTACATCTTGTTACTTTTAAGTATCTTTAGAATTTAAAAATTAAAGAAGTGCTGACTCAAATTTGTATGAAGTTAAAATAACTTAAATATTTTTTTTTTCTTTTCATCTTCCATAAATCTTTTATTGGTGGCTCAAAATGAAGCATATGCTAACAGAACATTTATCTCATGGCTGGCATCCTCCAAGGAAACCAGATGGTAAAACTCATAAATTCTTTCCCTTCTGCTCTTTGACAGTCCCAATCAAGAAAATTATGAGGCCGGAAGATCAGGTTTATGTTCTGTTGTTATAAAAACATTTTCTTTATGCATCCAGTGTGGTTTCAATTTTCTCCAAGTCCATAGTGGCAAATAGCAGTTTAACGAGCTATTATATACAGACATACAGCTATTGGAAGAACACACACCACTTTCTGTACTTCAATAGGAGGCACTGGTCGATTATTTCACACAAGAGCAGATGAGACAGAAGCACTTTGGGGCTTTGATGCACAGTACCAGACAGCTACAGAATTTAAATTTCAAGCACTATAACACAAAAAGATGTGACTCCCAGCAGTAGACAACGATTTTGTCTTAACAAGTTGAAGTATAACCACAGACAAAACTGACATGTTAGGTAAATGTTTTAGGCTTCATCTGCAAATGGAAGGTAAAATCTGTCTACTGCCTTAAAATCAACAGCATGGTTAAATAGTTTTGAAATTCTTTTGATCACTCACCTTAAAGAACCCTCACAAGATGAAAAGAAATCATTATGATTAATGTTCATGATTTCAAGCCTGAAAGCTTGAAAGAATTGACAACCCAAATATGACAGTTAAGACTGTGTTGGCTGTTCCTGAGACTTCTGGGGAAATAAAATGTGCAATTAGAGCTCTTTGATTACCTGAAGGAAGTTCAACACTTCACAAATTAGTGCTCCAAACTGAAATACTACTGGAAAATTTTAGTTTGCTTCCTAAGAAATATTCCAACATGTTTTGATGAAGAATCTGCAAAACAATTTTGGATGTTTATTTCAATTAATTTCAGTGTATACCAATCCCAGTGAAAACAGCTGTTAAAATCTAAATTTCCCTAAAAAAGTAAATTCTTTATTAACTCCATCTTTTGTTAGAAAAATTTCCCATGAAAATAATTTCAAGATTCAAAAGAATCTTCTGAGGAAAGAGAAGTGGGGAGAATGATAAATTAAGAAAAATACAACACAAATGCCAGATTTTATTGAGGTACTGCATTCACATTTGTTTGTGCATTGAACAGTCACATTTGGCAAAAGACAACCATGTTCAAGACATGAAGACACCACACTGAGATGGCACACAGGGAAAGCTTAAAATAAAGCTGGGTCAACATGGTGTGCCAAATTCTGCTCTGCTTGACAACTGTGTTATCTCACTGGATTTGCACAGGATAGAGACAACAACTTGCATGAAAATGACTGACAGCAGTAGCTGATATGCAAATCAAAACACACAACTTCTCAGTACAGCAACCGTACACAAACATCCTGGCACAGCTTCAGATTGGCCTCTGGTTATCGAGAGTGGTTGTAAGAGCCAGGAAACACCTCTGGAAGAGTGAATTGGGTTCTCGTGGCTTACAGTCACAGTCTATCCTTGTGGCTTAGGAAATCTCTTGAAGTCACGTGGCTCTGCCAACAGCTTGTTTTGGCGGGGCCTTTGTGGAGGATGCAGCTCTGTATCTGCAAAATACCAATAACAGTTACGAGTTAGACTGAACAGGGGAAGATTTTTTCCCTACAAAAAAATCCAGAAGAAACCACACAGCTCAATCCATTTCACTGGCATTACTTCTTTCCAAGTATCTCATTACATTCTCAGCCTCTATCATGTGAAGAACTGCACCCCTAAAGGGAATTACTACAGCTATGAAACACCAAGTGCCTCCTCTGGAGGTGTTTGTGGATGGGTAGCTTTGCTGCTGCTTCCCTACTGGGCAAATGAGGGCTTCCCCTTGCATGTGATAAAGGCCCCCACAGTGGTGCTGAAACTGAAAAAAAAAAGGTTTTGTAGACAAAGACAATCATCCATACAACATTTCAATGCAGTGCCCCTTGGAGAATGTACCACTAGTATCTACATCAAACTATGCATTTAATTTCTTTTTAATGATAGACATGCTAGACATATTCACAATGTGTGCCTTTAACCCTGAAAGACACCAGAATATATTCCAAATTACACTTGAGGAATTTCTATACAAATAAATTGCTCTACTGCTCATTAAAGCATATTGATTCTGAGGTAAAACACAACAGCTGTTGGTACAGATGGGTTTAGAAGCAAATGCTTGTCTGGATATGCAAAAAAATGGACATGAACTGAAGTCTGGCTGGACAATTTCAACTAACTCAGCTACTGACAGAAGTTCTGAAGCATGAAATCTTGGACTCAAGGCAGATGGCAACTAGCAACAAGAGCATCCTAACCAGCAAAGAACATCACTTCAGTACTGGTTCACTGAATGATGCTCATCTGAGATACCACTGATACTTTTTGTAGATTCTAGATTATTTTCTATTGAAGACTCTGAGGATGGTTACACATTCCTGATGAACTTAAATGAAAACCTGAGACATACATGTAAACTTAGATTTGTACCATTCCCCAGCATTGCCATCTGGCTGACAGCAGCATGCCCTGGCAGCTGAAGAGGCAAACCCCACCCTGAGGTGTGCCAACCACCAATAAACAACCCGCCCTTCAGAGGAAAGGACTATCCTGTTGTATTGAACCTTGGTACAGCCTCACTGTGAATGCAGGTATGGTTCTGGGTTCCACAATTTAAGAAGAATGTTAAGGTACTCAAAAGCATCCAGAAGAGACCAACAAATATGGAGAAAGGGCTGGAAAGACAGGTGGAAGGAGTGTCCCATGAGCAGTGCCTAAGGACTTTGGGCTTGCCTAGCTCAGGGACAAGGAGGCTCAGGGGTGACCTCAATGCTCTGTCCAGCTTCCTGAGGAGGGGAATGTGGAGAGAATGGTGGCCCTGGCACAGCTTTCCCAGAGAAGCTGTGGATGCCCCATTCCTGGAAGTGTTCAAGGCCAGGTGGGATGGAGCTCTGAGCAACCTGGTCTACTGGAAGGTGTCCTTGCCCAAGACAGCAGAATTGGAACTAGATGATCCTGAAGGTCCCTTCCAACCCAAACCATGTTGTGATTCTCTGATCTCTTTTCCCTGGTATCCAGTGAAAGGGTGCACGGGGATGGTTCAAAGGTACACCAGGGGAGGTTTAGACTGGACATGAGGAAGCATTTCTTTCTTATTTAGTCAGCTTCTTTAGTTATACTTGAGGATTTGGTTTCTCCTGTTTAATTACAGTACTTTAATTTTCATTGCATTTCACTTCTTTTTTTTTTTTATTTCAGAACATTTCCTGAGGGCACTGAGATAATTCTGAAAGGTAGTTTTAGCCCCAGAGTCTTGCAACCCTTCTCAGGGTGGTGTCATTCAAAAATTTTATTCATGTGCTCTTCAGTCCTTCAGCCAAGCTCTTACTACTTATCTGGGATAATGTACCAGACACTTCCCAAGACATCCTTCTTCCCTCCAAAAATGTGCTTGAGAATGAGTCACTGAAAATTTCTCTTTGACTGCATTTTCGTAATGATCTGTAATCACAACCACTTGTTCCCACTTATCTGATAGGCAAAATTACCTTGACAAAGAGAAAAATTAGACTGATCTGTTTTCACAAAATGTGTGTCAGATTTTTCTTGTGCACAGCTCAACTATTTAATAATTTAATGTATTATCATTCTAAATTAGAAGCAATGCTTCATCTGCCTAGTTCCTCTCCATTCCCTTTGTAAAGCTAAGAGCTGTGTTTGCCCTTTTGCTGGAAAAGAGCAGGCAAACAAGTTTGAATTGTATGCTGAACTACACCAGGCACAAGGTAAAGACGCTAATTAAAACTCAGTGAATTTGGCAGATGAAATATGCCTGCTAAAGGAAATCTAATTGGCACCTGTAGCTTTCTCCCAGCAGTAGAAATTTGTAGCCACTGATGGACTCTGGCTTAATACTGCACTGTGAAATGGCTCCCCATGACGGGTGTGGGTATGAAATCTGCAATAAGCACAGGTGAAAAGCAGGGGACAAAAACCACTGAGGACCTGGAATTTCTATCAACACTTAGCCATATTATGTGTTGAAGTTCAAAAAAGATCCTTTCCTCCTTTTCCATTCTGAATCAGGAAGCAAAAAGGTTTACAGACTGAGGACATAGTTTTCCTGGATTTAGCTCCAAACGAGGTCACAAGTATTTTAAGTCTTCACTACAACACCAGCCTCATTTTGGTAACAAAAATGTTGGATAATGCATCCACCAAAAAAGCTTCCAGATTTTTCAGTCTTTATATAATGCATGCATTCAATCCCTACCCGAGTCCTTTGCAGCTGCCTCTCAAGTCTCTCCCTGTAAGCAACAGTGGGTTAGCAGGCACCCTATAAACATCAGCCTGTCTACCACAACAGAAAGGCAGGCAAACAGAAGCATGAGGAAACAGGAGGCTCATGGCCTTCAGAAAGCAATACCACATTCACAGAGCTCAGCTCATCTGAGTACTTGGTGCCTGCCTCGGATATTTTTGGATTTTCTCACTACAGACGGCTTTCTGACTGCAGGATCCATTTTAGTCTTTCCATGGCATTTTTCTCCCACAAGCCATTTCATTTGCAACAGCAGAAAAAAAATGTGTGGAGGTGGTTAGGAGTTTTGAAATTAGTTTTGTTACACTTCAGTATTTTTACAAGAATGAGGAGCCAAAATCAACTTGTTATGCTGCTAAAGAGCTCTAAGAAAGATACATTTGCACTTGGGATGCACAGTGGGGCTTTTTTTAAGGGTACAAGAGAAAACACATGAAAAACAGGGAACTCTTGACTTATTTACTTTCCTGCTCATCTGAAAACAACTGCTGAGCAAACAGGACCACTTATTTCTCTTGTGACAGACATTGCTGATCTGCAGCTATTCTCACATTCTGTGACTGTTCAGCCATGAGCTTTCAACCCCCTGCAGAAAGTAAAATGCATGTTTCATGCCATCTGAAGTCCTTTGCATTATTCATAAAGTCCTCTTAAGTCTGAATCTGTTGTACTGGGGTACATTTTAAACACTATTCTGCATATTCTATGCCATAGGCTGTTAGACCTTTACACATGATTTCAGCAGAAAAAACTTTCTTGCAAGATAACCCTCTCCAGTTCTGTGGCAGAATTTACCTGGCACTAATTCCTGCATCCCCAGGAAGCAATGCAAGACTAAACTGCCCACCAGAAACTTCACTGCTTTCACCCTTTGTCACACACAGGAGTCTTTCTGAAAATTCATCACTAAAAAATTTTTTTTAAATAAGTTACAGTGCTCTGCCTCCTCAGTAAGCTCTGGTGCACCCGGGACAGCTCAGGAAAAGGACAATAACAACATAAGGGGAATATAATCTTGTCTGTCACATAACCATGATGGAGTATTCATGTGCCAGCAAATCTAGAAGGGATTTGTTGGGGAAGGACTCTGTCCAAGTCTCTGCAGATACATCCCTGTGCAAGGACAGGAGCAGAGCAGTGTATAAATAAATCAGAGACGGTTTGCTAGTGCTTTTCAAAAATTTCAAAACTCCCATAAAGAATAATTTTATAAAATCTATGCAAAACAGAGTAGAGAGTATACAAATACAACACAGTAAGATGAAAATAAATGTTCTCACGGTACCTCTTCATAACGTTGATAGAATCCATTCAGTGCCTCTGTCTTTAACATACTGAACTCCCTCTGGCCTCACTGTCTGTAAAACAAAGGCATTTTTAGAAGAATTAACAGCATTATTCTTCCATCAGTTGCAAGCAGTAATACACAGATATACCCACTGCACTAGAAAAACCACAGTTCCTGGAATCTTTTACAATTTTTATAGGATGAGACAGATCAAATCTATTCCACTTTGCATTCCTGGGCCTCGGGGAGGCTGCAATTACTAACTTACTTGTGTTAAAAAGGAATAAACATCAAAGTGAAGAGCAGTTTAAGGTAGCAGCACTATGGTATAAGCTGAGCTTGTAGCAGGAAATCAGAAAGTCTCCTGAAAGAAATTGCATTAGAAATTTCCCATATTCGAGAAAACAGACCAGAAATCTCAAACTTTCATCCCTCTCCAAACATAATCAATCACTGTTGCTTTCAGTGCACTTTCACCCAGTGACCCCAAAGCTCTGATTTTGTGTGTGGAGGCTCACAATATTTCTTTGCAAGTCTTACCCATGTTTTATTGAAAGATTAAAGTGATGACAGGAGCACATAAAACTATTTTTAGTTAAGCATTTTACCAGTTTCTTACAAAATCTTTAGTTCTGGCATCTCCCATTTTTTGAGGGTTTGGTTTTGAAGCTTAGTAGCATTAGAATATTGTTGTTCAGAGCACAACTTCATAGGTTAATGTAAGCAATAGGTTAAAATTCTACCAGCTGATACAGACACCTTCTTGGAGCAGAAGGGCAGGAATCTTTTGATTCAGTGCAGATAAATTGAGTTTACCCAGCTGATCAGAGTAACTAAAGCAAAGGCAGCTTGCAGTGGATCACTGCAGGAAGGGAGGAGACAGTCTGCCAGTTTCCACTGATCCCTGCTGACAGCCGAGAAAACAAAGCTCTAGAATAAGACTTTCCTAAATGCACTTTCAACTTCATTTATTTTCTTTCTTACCTGATATTTGTTCTTTCATTCCCTTCCCACTTTCTTCCTTCTGTTTCCAATCCTTATTTTCTGCTACTATGCTTCCCATGATGGTCACCATATGCATGAGTAACAAGTCATATTTGGAGTCTCTCCTCTCTCTTTTCTGCCCTAAATCCCAACCCTGTACACGATTCCCCTTCAGCTAGGCTCCTTCTCCATCTCTCTCCCCAAGCACCAGGCTTCAGCTCCCCAGCCCACCCACAGCCACTGCTCCACTTCCTTGCTCCTCCATCCCCTCCAGCACTGCTGACTCCCTGACCTGCTCCTCTCAACTCCATCAGTCCCATCCCTCTTCCAAAAACTCCAAGGAGCATTCAGCTCCTTGCAGTTTTCTCCTTTATCTGCCAGTTCCAAAGCCTCTCCCTGCTTTATCCTGTCATCTAATTCTCCTTATGGAGCTCATCAATCTTCCTCCCCAGTCTCCCTGTATTTCCCATTACCCTTTAGTTCAACATTGTCTTTGACCTCATTTTTCACTTTCCCAAGTGTGGGGCCAACACAAAGAGACAGAAAAGATAAACTTAACTGGGCAGGGTACTTTTCTCCATGCCAATGTGTGGGGAAGGATTGAAAAACATGTTCCCTATATCCAAAACAGGACAAAAAGTTGACAATGCTAATATTTTAATTTAATAAGAAGCAAAGCAGATTGAGAAAGGGGAATTATTTGTTATTGAAAAGTTTTGAAAGTTGCATTTTATTTTACTTTGTTTGAATTGAAAAAAAATGCAGTTTGGTTTCAAAAATAGGATTTGATAGTTTAGCATTTAAAAACATCTGTACAAGAGTATTTAAGCTAAGATCTTGGTTGAAAACAACAGAGTTATTTCAACTGGGGAAAAAACAAACCCAAAAAGAAGAAAAAAGAATTCTTATCAGTTACAGAGAAAGGCACTTTATTTTTTAAGGCTCCAGCAGCTATGGGTATATTTGTAGCAAAAAACCTGACTCCTAATGAGCTGCAAAAATCTCACTGCTACAAGAAAGTCTGGGAAATTTAAAAGCTAAGGAGTCCAATAAAGACATTTCAAAATTTTATATTTCTAGTGATGTACCCTTCCACTAAATTTGAATTCCCAGCTTTAATTTTCTTCATTTCCTTAAAAAAAAAAAAATATTTTTTTTTCAACAGTTGAGCCCATTTGGCTGATTTTTCCCCATACAGAAATCTGAGGTAGATGACTGGCAAAGATAAAAGTAGCCTAACTGGGGAAAATGTAAAGCCAGCTACAAGAACACCACACAGTTGAAATTACTTCTAAACTTAGAAGACAAAATTATAAATATACACTCCAAAAGCCAAGCAGTGTATCTGAATTCAGACAGCAGCTATCTGCTTTCACAACCAATAGTCAGATAATTGTACTGAGCTAAGAAGGACAATGTGTGAGAGTTTCGTGCTTTTTCATCAAAATACCTGAATATTTCATATATTTGAATCACTCCCCATGAGGAATCTCTAATTAAGGAGAGAAATAGGGACAGGAAAGTCATCTGGCTATTTTTCAAGCTGTGTTTTTCCTTATTATGAAATGAAACCATGAACTTTTGCATATTATGATGTCACTGCTTTGTAAGAACAAGGAATTAATAACTTCTATTAAAGCACATTTTCCCCAGCACTTATGATTAATTTACAAGACCACAATTTTTTCACACTCCAACCTGAAGGTCCCTGCTGTCTGACTCTGAATGCATTACAGAGGTCTTCCTGTGCTAAGTTTTAAGGGAAAAGTATTAGTTACCATCTTAAAATGTAATTTGCTATTCATGCTTTGCAGTGGTATGGAACACTTCATCTCCAGACCTCGCAGAAATACTGGAATACAGAAATACAGAAAACATGTTTAAAAACTGTCTGGGTCACCAGGGTGGAGAGGCTCTCTCCATCTTTTATATCTCTGATGTTAAAGCCCATTCTCAGGGACCAGCAGAGATGATCACTTCTCTTCCATCAGCTGCCTGGTCAAGGCAAGTGTACGTGCACCTTTCCCAGAGTCAAGCTGTGCCTCTGGATTTCCCCTTTTCTGCCTGCTTACCACTCCTATCCTGACAATTAGGCAATATTTACTCAGTCCTCCTTACTTCTTGCACTGTGGGGATGTTCCAGCATTATTCACTCAGCCTTAACAAAACACTTAAAATCCTATGACTTCCTAGCTCCCCATATTTTGAAGGGGATAAACCTTTTGCACAAAGAGAAGTTTTTTTGCTAGAAGAACAAAGCACATGACCAAATTCCCTTTCACCTTGAATAAATAAATCATGTTTGCATATTTAGGACATGGATTTCTTTAAGGCCTTTTTCTTACCACTGTTACATGTCTCCAGCCTTCAAATGGGAGAAACAAAAACATCTACAATGAGATAAATGAAAAATACTTTCTCTTGGAAAGAGTTTAACAAGCAACTGAAATGCAGGATCTCCATCTGTATGTGTTTGCCTGCACATATTGTCTTGCATATTATGGATCAACTCTGCACTCTACAAATAGAAATGTCTAACTCTGGTAACATTTAAGTACTTCTTCCTTGTCTACACCAGTGGCTGAGCTCATTTTTCCTGAAATTCAATGCTCAGATTAAAATGTAAATTTTTGCTAGGGCTAAAACATCCCTAGCTAACTCAAGAAACCAATCTGTAATACTCAGTGCTGATGCTATGGAAGATCTGTGCTGATGCTGTGAAAGACCATTTGTTTAAGGCTAAACAGAGGCAAATTCCAGTTGATATGCCTTTTGTAGAATCAGAAACTTTATAATAAAGGGCTTCATATTCAGTTTATTGTTAGATTTATCATTGATCTTGTAATTATTTCTGTAAAAATTCAACCACCCCGCTTCTGTATTTAGGAGATCTTGGATAAGCCCCCAGAGCAATGACCAGCTTCTGCCATTATGTGAGGTAGGAAAGGCATAAAATAACCAACTGTATGTTTAACGAGATACAAAACTCCAACTGAGATGATGTATTATGGGTGAAATGGAATATAAAAAAAAAATACTACTTTCAAAAATGAGTGCTCTCTGAGTGCTCCAGAGATCCAGATGCTGCATAACAACTAAAGTGTGACACAGCCTTCATCTTAAGGCAAAATTATGATAGTTCAGAAAAAGCTGTGTTGAACTAATTTCATATTTAAAATTCACAGTCCTCAGGCCTGCAGTTCTCTGAAGCATCTAAAAACCGTTTTAATTTTTAAATTTGTTCTTATTGCTTATGTATGGTTATCCTGCACTCCCAGAAGAACTAAAAGATGAGGAGAGAGGCTGTTTTTATTTTCCCCAGGCCTGCAAGCAGCTAACCAGCCATCTCATCAGACACTCAGCCCTTGCATTACTTCCATGCAAAAGAAACCCAAATATGACAAAGCCAAGTACTCAAGCTTGTCAGCGAAGTCCTAAAACATTTCCAAAGATCTTTTAACCTTGGCAAAGCAACTGGCTTTCAATTTCCAGCAACCCACCTCACCAACAGCCAAAGCTATGAGAATTTGGATGTGAAATAATTGTCATTCAAAGCAGCCAAAGAAGCAGAATAAAAGCAAAAACTCACTCAAAACCGCGTTTAAATACAAAGGAATTTGTTGAAGCAAAGCTCCAAACCACAAAGGAGGTAGCTGGGAAAAAGCAAAGGTCCCTCAGCTTCCCGGCTTCATAAGGTTTGGAATTGTTACTTGGAATGCCTGCATGAATGCTGGGTTATCAGTGGGATGCTATTCTCCTCCTGATAGGAAGAGAGGAACAACCCTTGCTACCCAAGCAGGATGTGGGTTTGCAGCAGGGTTCAAGTCCGTACAGAAAGATGGAATTGCTTGGCAGCAGTGGTGCAGTAGCACCTGCCTCCTTCCCAGCTCCCCACGTGCCAAACATGTCTGGCACAAAAATAAAAGGTATGAGAAATATAGCACTGCTGTCCTGGCAATGGATTAAGAGCTGGTGCCATAGCAGGAAAACCTGAGGGAAGAAGTTAAACAGCAACACGTTCAAAAATATAACGTCAGTTTATAATTAAAACACAACCATCTTGTAGAAGAGCACAAGAGCATTTTGTTCATCCCACCCAAGAGTTTATTTAGGCAGAACTAGCTAGCAGGTCTTAATTCCACTCTCTCCAGGACAAGTGTGAAGTTTTCAATTTGCAGATTAGTAGCAGTTTGCTGAATGTGTGACTTCAGAAGCTTGCTCACCTCATACAAAGGGAGGGTTTTCAGTTCTGACAGCTCTATGAACCACTTTTAAACCAAAGCCGGCATCTCTGGAGGACAAATTTAGACATAGGAAGCTTGATATGAAATGGACTGTGTCCACATAAGGAGGAGGAGGCTTACTGCTCTATAATAGGCTATAATTACAGTAACTCATTGGTCATTTACTGCCATGCAGGTATAGAAGCATTTTAAAATAACAAGTGAAGAGAAAATTTGAGCTGATGGGACTTTTTTCCAAGAATTATTCCCCTTTTTCAACTTATTGGACTTCCAATGCCTAAATAAGTACAACATTCCTTTTATTTTCTACAACTCTACTGGTTGAACTGCTGAAGCAGTTAATTTAAATATTTAGGAAGTCCAAGACAAAGGGGGAAACTTATAGCACCCCATCTTTCCAAGGAGACTTGCAGTCAGATTTCACAAATGTAGTGAACTGGAGCAGCAGCAGCAGCAGCAATTTTTCCATGTGAGTGGGTTAGTGCTGACTACATGCACTGTTCCTGCAGGCATCTGCCAACACAGTCTGGGTACAAAGGCAGGGACTACTGCTACTGAAACAAAGAGTTTAGACTTCAAAGTCTGGATCCTATGTTGGGAAGAAAGGAAAAAAAAGAATGACCTCTCTCTCTCTGACACAAGAAAATACACTTAAAATCTCTTCTGAGATTTTTATTCTTAAAATAAATCACTACTATATGTTTATGTACTCTTGACAGGAAATCCAGAGCAACTAAGTCAGTAAGTCTCTTCCTGGTAAAGAGGCTAATCTATCCTCACTCAGTATTGCAAATGTTTACATTATTCCTACTACTAAATAAATATAGTGAGCTTGTGTTAAGTGTTTTGAGTTTGGCACAGATTTCACAAAGCAGGCAAAACAGCAGGACAGCTTGATTATATCTTGACATTCCCATCAGAAAGAAAACACACACTGTTAGATTCCTCCACATTCATTTAAAGACAGAGTAAGGCTTTTCCTCTGCAGGTGATAATGCACATCAATAACAACTGGTCTTACCTGCCGTCTGTAAGCTCAGACCAGTATCCAGTTTGCTGCGTGGCTTGGTGCTGATAAACAAATAACAGAGAACACACACAGTGATGATAAAAGCAAAGAGGACCACTGCTGCTATTGACAGGCCCACGAGTGCTCCAACACTAAGAGAGAAAAACAAAAAAATTAGGTGTACAGACAGCCTGGGGTACCCATTAAAACAACGGTCAAGATGATGTCTGGAGTTTACTTGTACTCAGGCACGGGAGTAACTGTATTGTACCGTAAAGAAGAGTTGAGAGCTCCATACTTCAATTGCATAAATTGCAGTTATTTCACTGCCCTCAGAAGGGTCAATGTCATTACACAGCAGTTGAACTACTGGCCCTCAGTGACATTTCATGCATATTACTCCTGAGTCTGACTTAAAGTGTATTTATGAAAATCAGAAATAACTTTATGCAGTAACTGATATCAGTGAGATCAAAAAGTTCTTCAGTGCACACACAGAAAAGGATTCTAGGGCTCTAGACAACCCAAACAACATGACTGTTAAAGCAGTATTTTCAGTCAGAAATGCCATTTCTATAGTATAAAAAAACATGCAAACCATGCTATTTAATGTTAGCAGCTCTGCAGAGCAGGGTGGAGCACTGTGATCACTATTGTGCCTTTACATTAATGAAATAAAACTCCAATCAAAACTGGAGAAATTCTCCCATGATCTTTGTCACAGTAAAAGGAAAACTAAAGCTGAATTAGTTTACTCAAAATATCAAAACCATCAAAGAAGCAGGAATTAATTACTCTGGAGCCTGAACATACAGTACTATATGTAGATTTTATCAAGGTGCTATCCTGAAGGATAAAAACTACTTTATACATCTCCCATATGCATACAGTGAGACCATATATGTATATACAGAAATCTCTCCTGATTTCCAGCCCTTATTTTCAAGTCCTTTCCTAATATAAAATTCTCATGATGAAATAAAAGGACCCAATATAATACAGTCTAGCTATCATTTCCTACACTCTCCTGGGCCATTTGATGCCTTCTGTGTTCCAGTCCTCTATTCTACAGTACATGACAAAGATCCTGACTTCTGGTGAAATTAAATAGCAGCTTTTTGGTTACAGATGAGGAGTCTGAGAACTGAGAATCCTTATATTAGTACTCTGGTATATTTACAATTTTGACAGATGTCAAAAGGACAGAAGAGAGATGAATGTCTTGAATTCTACAAGCTCCATCCTCTAGTCATAAAAATGCCTTTATATATCACTGCCATCAGGGAGAAGTCAACTCTACTGTGGCCTTGCAGGAAGATGAGAAGAATTGTGCCTTGGGATGTTTTTATGAATTTTACATTCAAGATACTGCAAAGCTTCTCTACAAGCTCCCACAGCACTAGCACACAGATATGTCCACAGGAGAAACTCTTAAAATCAGCAGGATGAGAAGAGCAGATATTGCTATGACTTTCACATGCAGTTTTCATTAATTACTGGTCAGATTCAGTAATGAAGTTTGGGCAACATCTAGCTCTGTGCACAGCTAAAATAATTTGTTATCAGCAAAATGGTTCTAGACAGAATAGCTTTACCCTTCTGAAGATTTTTCATGGTATTTATCATCTGCATTAAATAGGATATCCTTATGTATTTGTGCATATATGCACAAATTAAGCAAATTTTTCCTTATTATTTTTGTCTCAAACAAAACTTGCAGGCAAGCAATATTCTGCTTACTATGGAATCTGAATATGACCTACACTCAGAGATCTCACCTGGGTTCTGGCCTTATTTTTGCATTTTTACTTGGAACACCTTGACCCAAATTGACAAAATAGGAGAAATACACATTACAAAAGACTGAATAGCCATAGAACCATGTGATACAAACAAGGCTCTTCAGAAATAGTTATTTGTCCTTTTTTGACAGTACAAGCCTTATTGTAAGATTCCATTTAAATTCCAGTCTGCAGTGCAGGACTAAGGAGGTTGCTCATTATTATCCAAACATTAAGCAGAGTCAGCTGCCCTAAAGCCAAACAGATCAAGTACATATTAATGATTATACATTTTCCTATTCAGACATCTGCTACTTCTTGGTTGTAGCTCTCCTCCATGCAGTTGTAGAAGATGACATGAACAATACAGTTGTGTATTACATAGCACAATGCATCTTCAGTATCACTACACAACTTCTGTAAGATATTTTGGGAGTTACAAAAGGCAAAGCCAAGAAAAACATGAGGAACTCTCCAGGTCAAAGACTCATCATAGGCTATATGCTACAAGAAATGTTTCTTATGCTCCAGCAGCAACTTGAGAAGATCTCACCCGTATCACAAAAACAAATAGAAACTCTGATTCTACTTCCTGAATGAATCAGGAATCAGGACAATTTGTACTCACTCTTTTTAAACACACAATGTTTCGATACCAGATTGTTCTCAAACTGCTGAAGCCGTCAACCCACAGAAAAGGTATAATTAAGTTCTATAAGATTAATTTTGGTTAAGGTTTGGGGATGGAGGGCTGTTTCTTAATTTATCTAATTCAGAGAAATTTAATATGTCTTCCACAGCTCTGAATACTGACGTTTCTTAACCAGAACACAATCTTTTCCTTCTTTTTTTTACTAGCTAAAGCTGGTATCAGAAACAAAATACCAAATAACTATGGTCACTGACCACTTTAACAATTACACTCTGAAAATAAAGTCAATCTTACACCATGTCCTCTAGATTCTACAGCAATTTCCATGGTGCTGTATATCTGCTTTAAAAAGCCCTTGCTAAAAGCATTTTGCCACCTTCCATTCTTTACATTAAACACTGTCTGAGGGCCATCCAGCTGTCACATGGTAACAGTCTACAGGTCTCAGGGTGTGTCTTTGAGATCAGTCTTCTGACAGTAGAGACACTAAACAAGCAAACTAAAAAGTCCCTCTTGCCCACAGCTGTGGCCTCATTAGTGACCAAAACCTCCTGCATTAACAACCCACTCAAACCCCTGACATGGGCAATGTTAAGTTTGGTAGGAGATCCAAACAGAACTCTCCCAAGTAATTTTCCACATAAAGACAGAGCCATACCACACATTTCCCTGCTGTTACACTGAGTGCCACATCCAGGCCTGCAGCACAGACAAAGGCTTCACTCAGCAGAGGGGCTCTGCTCTGCCAGCAGCCTCCCCAGGGCTCCCCAGGCTGTGTCCAGAGAGCTGCTGAGTGGGTCCATCGACTTGACTGTTAGTGGATGCTCAGCATCACACACCTACAGTTCTTTTTAGTTCATAAAATAAGGCCATCCACACACTCAAAAGCCAGGGAATATTTAAATATTGGCTAAGCAGAGGCAGCATTGCCCACTGATACACTAAAAGGAACTCATGAGTCACCCGGATCCGAGTAAATCAAATGTTCCCAATGCCATTGTTGCAGTGATGTGTTGTTCACAGTATTTGCAAAGCACACAGATAAATATTCTCAAGAGACTGGAAGAATGGGCATAGGGAAACAAAAGACTTGCTATTTCGGAAAGCCAAAACAGATGCCTGGAGGTCGTTACAGCCAAGCAAAGCTTGGCCTCAGTATTAGGCCACCATGGCTCCATGGGTATTGATTAAGAAGGCATTTTGAGTAAAATCTATACATGGCTTGACAGAATTTTAATCAAATATGTATTATTGCATGCAACTTAAAAGACACTGCTTTGGAATGGATATTAGAAATCTATTTGATACTGAAAGAGGCCATTATAAAAAAAACTTCACAGAAGAGTGACAAAAATAAACAAAAATTTTTAGAACAAAGAGAAACAAAAAGGCTTACTGAACATAACTGCTGCAGTTCAGTACAAATACCACATGTTCAGCATTTCTCCCCTTCCACTCAGCTTGGGAGGTAAAGCAGATGTGATAACTGCATGTGCATGCACAGCACACTGCTCTGGAGGCTGAGCTGCTCAGTGTTTGGCTCATTGGTGTTTTATAGCTTCTGTGTTTTGTGGATTCAAAAGCTGAATAACCTCCTGATGAATTCTACCTTTTCTTAATGTTGCCTTCCCTGCTCCATGGGCTCCTCCACAGCAGGAAAAACACAAGTGAAATGTGCAACAGTTTACTGAAATTCTACCTGGTGTGCCATCAAATGGAAGTAATCCCTGAGATATCACCAACCACTTGTGGTGCAGTCAGTCACTGCTTTTCAAATATCTGGGGGAAGTCAAACAAATGAAGATTTAGGAAAAGAACCCCAAAGTTCTGGAGTATAGCAAAACCTAAAACAGTTCCCCCATCAGAACCTCTGAGTCCTTTCCCTTCCATTTCCAGACTTACCTTGGCTGGTTTGCCTAACTCTTGTTTACCTTTAAATCTTAAGGGTCTCAAGTCTTAAAAGTATGTCCTCAAAGGCTGAAAGAAGCATTTTAAGGATTATTTCATCATATGGCTGTTACCAACCAGTATCAGTAACAGTCTAGTGATCACCAAAACATTCTAAGAGTCCAGAAAATGTTATTTTTATGTTTTCCTTAAACTCCTAATTGAACTGTCACATGAAAATGTACACAGTTTTCAAAATTATGTAATATTCTAATGTTTCCAGTGTGTTAATAACTAAAAATTATTCAATTTGTTACTGAAAACACTTATAGGAAATGGTTCAATTCTAACCACTCAATAACTATGCTTAGAGAAGTCAGTTGTATTTATTCATCATTTTCTACAATGAATATAGCCATTTATGGGAGAAGTTAAGCACAACCAAAACTCCATAAATGGCAATTTCCATGAGTCCTTTTAGCAGCTTAGGGATCTGTAGAAAGAAGAAAAAAATTCCATAATTTTCACAGTTTGGGCCCGAATTTCTGACTTAGGTGAAGGCTACACAGTCACTTCTTAGACCCTACAAAATCTTTTTAAAGGAAGAGCTTCCAGAGAGGTATTTCATTAAAGCCTCTCCTGGAATTCAGTTCTTGGAGGTAGTTTTTGAAAAGATCAAGCTTTAAGAGTCTTCACTACGACATCCAGATGAGATGTCGTGATGCAATGTTAACTTATTCCTTCGGTTCTTCTAACATCTTGAGAAGGTTTACTGTGATTGAAACAGTCAAAGGCTATGCAAAAATATAACATTTTAACATAAAAATCTACTCAAAAGTATGAGTATTTGCTAGCAGAAGTGTAAAAAAGGACACTTGGAGATGTCTTCTCACATCAGAGAAGCCAAGTAATTGTGTGTCATTACATGTCACAGTGGTGGATGGCTGGGAGATCCCCACAATCAATCCACTCTTTGCACCAGAAAAAGTAGATTTTAAGTAATAATACTTTAAGTATTAGAGCACATAAATTAAAATAGTAAGTCCACAGTACTGGATAGCATTAACTCACAAGCCCTGAGGGGAATTCACTTGTGGAACTGCAGAGCTGCTGGCCAAGGTGCTGAGGGTGTCTGGTTGCACAGTGCTGAATCTGAGCCTGGCTATGACAACCAAGCTCACCCTCCCCAAATATGAGGGACAGGTCCTTTGATGGTAAAACCTCTACCCCCAACCACCTTGTTACCATGCTCTACCCACAGGGAGCTGCTGGCACTTGCAGCTTCCTGACATAAAATCCTTAATGAAAGGATCAGCATTAGGATGAGGAGAAAACACTGCCTTGCTAACCTGCTGGAGTTTATGAAGGCATAATAATTTATATTAGTTTATAATAGGCATATATATAGTTTATAATAGGCAGATGGATAGAGGAACCCAGCAGAAAGAGTAAGATGTCTCAACAAGCCTTTGGACAAAGCCCTGCCCTGGAAGTGGGGTCAAGAAGACTGAACTTATACAGGATTAGGGAAAGATTTTGCTACAAATTTAAGGCTGCTTAAAAGCATAAGGAGCAAAGTGCAAGGCTTAAGTGGTCTCTTTTCAGTGTAAAGAAAGGTCACCAAGACTGATTTTTATTCATATCTTCATTTGTGACCTGGTGAAGAAGGAAATCTGAGTTTCTGATGACCTTAAGCCCTACAAGCAATCAAATGCTGAGGGCAAGGAACACTACAAGACTTGCAGAAAACTGAGTGAACAGACAAAAGTGATGTACATAAGTTTCAGTGTACATAATGTAATGTATAAAGAACAAAACCAAGCCTACATAGCAATAAACTTAGAACAGGCAGCTCTGAAAGTTTAAGAGTCTTCACTGACAGCTCACTGAAATAATGGAATCTATGTGAACTGGCAAAGACATCAACAACACACTGGCCACCAACAGAATGGATTTTGAGAGCGAGACTGGAGGCAACATTTGGCCACTCTGTAGAACCTTGCCACACCCACTCTTTGGGCATGCAGCTCCAGATTATGCACCTCCAAGACGAGCCCTGTGGAGTGAAAAACAGTATGGATGAGATGCAACCAAAACGATCAGCGTGACATAGCATCTACCTCAGCGATAATCCAAAAGCTGTTCTGTTTGGAAAGGTGAAAGCTGAAAATAGATGCACCAAATGCTCAAAACGTTTTAAACACTGTGCATAAACTGACCCTGCAATTGCTGTTCACCAAATCTTGAAATCCTAATACTAGAGGGCACTCAGGAAAAGTAGTAGGGATAAAACAGATAAAAGGATCTATCTTCAAACAGCAGGTAGTAACTGCTGTGGCCAGGGCTCTAGAAGCAGACGGTAGAAGGAAGCCCAGAAGGGGATTTGACAACATCAAGGATAATAGCAAGTCCGTAAGAAACATAGTGGAAGCCCCATGCAGAGGTGTACTAACATCCTGACACGGCCAGCGTGGATGCTGTGGAGCCCGAAGGGAATCAAGCACAGAGAGCATCCGGGCTGGCTGAGCGCAGCTCTCCCTGCCGCTGCTGGAGATCCAGCCAGAGCCACGCGGATCTCTGCACTATCCCGGGAGAGCACTGGGCTCATTATCTGCCCCTTCCAAGTGGAAAGTTACGTAGTGCTTTATTTTACATGTAAAAGTAGCTCAAGTCACTGGGAACTTTATGGCACGCAGCACCTTACGTGCTCAGGCCCCGAGACAGCCGCTCCCCTCACGCCCAAAGGGCGGGAGACGCTCCGGATGCTCTGCTAGAGGCACCGAGCATTTTCCAGCGCTTCCTTATCAAGACCACGAGTTATTTCCTTCAAAAACTAACCTGGCACGAGAAAGTGTCTCTCTGGACTGAAGATGCAGCTCTATCGCTACTCTCGGTGGGACAAAGGCAGCCTGAAAGTGCCCGGCTACAAGTACCTCACAGACACGCACCCGAGCAGAGCTCGGGCGAACACGGGTCTCCCGCCCGGAGCCTCTACCCAAGCAGGCACCGCCGCTCCCCTACCTGAGCCACCACATGTAGCTGTGCTCGTAGGGGAAGAAGCTGTGGGGATCATCGCAGCAGTACTTGACGTCCTGGAAGCCGCAGCAGAACACGGCGCGGGCGTCGCCGCCCGCCCGCGGGCAGCTGAACCCGCTCACCAGCACCTTGTCGGCGTTGAGGTAACTGCTGCACTCGGCGCTCATGGCGCGCCCGCCCGCCCGCTGCCCGCCCGATGCCTCGGCTCGGCGGCACCCGGGCGGGAGGCGAGGCGAGGCGGCTGTGGCGGGCGGAGCCGGGCGGGCAGGGGGGCTGCGCTGGCGGCGGGGACCGCCGCGCCCACTGGCCCCGGGGCCGCCACAGGGCGGGGAGTGGCGGGAGAAGCCCGCGCCCTCAGGGCAGGCAGGGAGGGCGGGAGAGCGCCCTGAGGGGCCGGCCCGCTCCGGGCAGCGATTTCAAAGGTTGGAGCACGGCTGTACCTCAGCCTGGGTCCCATGTCGAGGAGAGCTTCCAGGGGTCCGTCCTTACCCATAACCTGGGTGGGGTCTCAGGGCAGGCAAAACAGGGAGAGCATGGAGAGGGATCACACTTCTGTAGGACTCAGGCCCCCTTGGCTTGATGAAGGGGGGAAAGCTCCAGCTCAAAAACAGGCTCAACACTTAAATAAGCACTGCACAAAGTGAGAGGATGAATGGCAGTGATGTGGCTGGTGCAAAGACTCCGGAAAAGAGGAGAACAGGGGAAATCAATGAGTGTTGAATTTCACCAAAAAAAAGGCTAGATGCTGATGAGATTTTGTGAGTTGTAACTTCATTACTTGAGTTGTTCTGATGAAATCAGATGTAATCAGATCCATTATTTTCATTATAAAATTGAGGATTGACTTATTTGAAATATATCCAGGAAAATGATCTACCAAAGACCAAAAGGTAGCCTTTTCATCTCAGTTATGTCAATGGTGTCAGTATGTGTTAGGATTTAATTGTGTGTCTTGTGTTATTTGAGATTAAGAGACCAATCTCCTGGTCATTTGATTCACAAAGACATGGGGACTGCATCTCTGTGATCAAGGAAAGTCTCTAATGAGGGAAGGATGGGTGAATCTCAGCTCAAAAGCCATCAGTTGGTTGCCCAGATCATGTGTCTGAACCAGTCAGATAAACAGCATGTGGTGTGGTTGAAACTAAGATGTTCAGGGGTAAATGTCATGGTTTTGGAGACTGATTCAAGACCTGGTGAAATTGCCAATCCTGGGTTCACAACAGAGACCTAAGTAAGTCTTTCAACTTCCCGGGATGGAGAAATGTCGAATTCCAGTCTCATCATAGGTATTAATCTCTTGAAATGTCTTTATGTACCTTGTTCAGTTGCTAATAACAATTTTCTTCCAAAACATGAACTGCCATTCTTGTGTTTCTCTCTGATTCTCTTTATCCATCTGGGATTGGTTTTTTCTTTATCATATGCTTTCTTGATCTCTTTCCACTGAGGTTCTGTTCATACCAGAATTCAACAACCAGGGCAGAGAGTCATGAACCCAAGAATCATTCAGTTCATGCTTTCAAGTGAGCTTTCCCAAATCAAGTGGTCAAGAGACTTTCAGGAATATAAAACATTCTTGGTTATTTTTTGTATTTCACATTCTGTTTTACTTTCAGAAATTTTTCTCTCAATCAGAACTCAGATAACTATTTTCCTCTCAGAATTATTACTGCGGTGATGTGGAACAAATAAAATTACCCATCACAGTTTTATGCTCAGTCTTACACAGACTTGCACTCATACTTAATGAGTATAAGGTAGACCTGTGTCAGAGTTGAACTAAAGGTGTATCCTTTGTCCAAATTTAAAGAAATTTGGTTTCAAAGAAAGCTGAAATGTTCTGGGGTGGCAACATCATTTTTCATTTGTTTGTTTCATCAATCAGTATACTCATTTATACCATGCAATCATTTTGTGCTTGCCATGATTACTGGGTGATAATAATTAGCATGCTTTCTTGTTCCAATTATTTGGAAAGATTTATATGAAACGTTTGAAATTACATTTGAGTTATCTACCTCAGTGATTGAATTAACTATGTAATTGCTGGAGGATTGAAATAAAAAACCATTCTCATTTGATGAGACACTCAGAAACAGGATTTGAAGTGGGAGTGGGTGGTTCTTCACTGACCAGTGGAACATGTGCATCATTTTTTAAGTCAGAAGAAAACATCACATTCCTTTATCATTCCAGTTACAAAACACAGATCTCTTCCAGTAAGGATTAGTGGTTTAGACCTCAAAAAATATGTTTCCCTCTCTCTTTACTATTACAAATATCAATTTAAGTTGCTACAGAGATGACAAGACCAGTTCTCTCTGCTGAGTGAGGAGTGTGTTTCAACCTAACAATGAGGCCATTCAGCTTTCAGAGAAACACAGATCCAGGACCTTTGGGATACTTGGAAGTAAGAGACAAATTATCCAGTTATTCAGGAGCAGCTTTCAGAATTGTATCCAAAACAGGATACTTCTATTCTCTGAGTGCTGAACGATCCTTCTTGTGAATATAAGTCCCTTGTGCAATGAAGCTCTAGCTCTGATTCTGGTAAAATGTAAAAAAAAAAAAGTAAAATGTAAAATGTAAAAAAAATGAAAAAAAAGTTAAAAAAGCAAACTTTCTTGTGTGCTTGCAACTCAGACTCTTCTGCAAATCTTTAACTGATTTACTGTTACTCACTTTGGTTTCCAAGAGACTGCTATGGCTATACTTAAAGCCTGTCTTCAAAATACCTGGGGGAACTGCAGCTTTCTCTTTATAATTAATGCTTTCAAGCCTTCCAGATGAACTCATAAACATAAATATATGTGCATTGTCAGTGCAATAATTAGAACAGCAGCATTTTTTGTAATCATTAAAAATAACTGTGATCTTCATCTAAACTACAATTAATGTTCGTGAAACTTGTGAAAAGTGCACAGCCTCTTATTTACTTATCCTGACTCCACAAGATATTGGCCAGCAGAACTGGGCTGGTTTAATTTTCCATCAAACTACAGGAGTTTTTTTGGCTGATACAGTTTTTAGCAAAGGAGGCTTGAGAAGCTAAAACTTCCTGATTTAGTCATTCCATTTAGAGACAGCTCAAAGTGAATTGTGCTTCTGCAGTGACCTCTACTTAAAAACTAAAAACAAACATTCACATTAACAGTTGTGGGACACATTTCTACCAGCCAACATTCCACAGAAAGTTAATTATGAGCTATGATATAGATGTCTAGATCAGCATCAATCTTCAAACCTACATGGCAAGGTTTTCCTTAAGAGCATAACCTAATTACCAATTGGCAAAGAGCCACATAAATTACTTTCAAAAGTAATGTGGTGGCAAATTATGCAATTAAACGAAATTGTCATGCCAAGATGGTGTAAGGAACTCTGATTAGGAACAAAAAGTTAAACTGATATCAGAGTTAGCGTAGGTAATACATTTTATCATGTTACATGAGCAGCAGGGCATTTCAGGAAGGCAGATGACAGCATAAGGCTCAAAACAGAAAGGGGCACAGAAGTTTTAAGTGGTGTGTACTTGCAGTACAGTGAGATGCTGTCACTCAGAAGACTAAAAAAGGGCTGTGTGTATTACTGAGGGACTGAAATCTATCAAGAGGATATGATGCATCTTGGGTTCTGCTCTCAATTCAACCACCTGTAAGTTGCTTTCGCAGACTGTGCTTCAGATTGTAAGTCTGTAGATTTGTGATAGTGATGGAGTAGTCTGACACTTGTATGCAAAAGTGTCTGTGTTTTGAGATCCTCTCTGTGCAAGTGAACACATGTATAAAATGTCATTGTATGAGTTTTTCATGTCACTCTAGAGCCTACCAATTTTCCTAGTAATTTTAACTGTACTTCACACACATTATCCTCTAATTGATTCTCCCAGTCAATATAGGGTATAGATTTTGACTTTCAACTACTTCTGCTTCACAGAACTAAATAAAGAAGGAGAAAGTAATTTTCAGAAAGCTGATGCTCAAAGGAGGTTCTAGTCAAAATTTTAAGAGGAAAAATCAGTGAAACAGGGAAGTAGGAAGTGACACTGGTAATTTTGTAATGAGGATGGAGATCTGATAAGTAATTTGTGTTTGTGTAATGGCCTCATTATCTACAGTGTTTGTGTGGTGTTATTGGTGAATATTTCAGAATGACTCAGTGAAGCAAATGTTACCTTTTTACACTTACTCTCCTATCAAGAAGTAGGACAGTCAGAAGCATAAAAGAGTTTTCAAAAATGAACCTAACCAAGTAGTCTTCACTGCAGTTTGTCTTTGCAGAGTGGTTTTTATTTCTTTTTCCTTTTCAGAAAGGAAAATAGTTTTTACTTATCTAAGTAGAAAGCACAAAACTGGCATGTTCCTTACTCACAAAAAGACCCTCAATCTGACACTGCCTCAATCATTTACCTTTGCTTTCATTTATACTGCTTGTAAAATATAATTATTTATAATTTTAGAAGCACAAATATATGTTGTAATGCATTTTCTACTTGAATAGAAGGGAGAAAATTTTAAATGGTTCTACCAAGAATGCAGTTTCTGTATGTAAGGGATGATTATGGGGATAATTCTGAAACAGAGTTACTCAATTATAAGACAGCTAGAAATGACGGGCCTGGTATTTCAGACTACTTAAGCAAGATCTCCATCAGAGATAGCACTTGTAAAACATGTAAGTTTCTTGATCTTTTCAGCATTTATTCTACACTAAACAACAAAACAGAAAATTATAGATTCATAGGCTTATATGAATTGTCACTTTCCATCACATTTTGAATTTTCTTTGTCTAAAATTGAAGATTAAAGAAAAATACCTAAGTAAACAGGTTTGAAGAGCTGACTTCTAAAATCAGTGAATAAATTATAAAATATCTTCCCACTATTGTCATGGTAAACTCAAACTGAAGCTTTTAATTTTCTTAATTTTGTTCAAACTCTTTGGCCAATAATTTAGATGTAGTCCTATTAAGTATATTTTTAAAATACCGCAGGTTGTTTTGTTATAAAATCATATACATTTTTTTTGCATATTTTTGTGTGCCTTGGCTCAGAATCTCTTCTGGCACTTAGCCATCACAGAGAACTTTTGTTCTAGTTTATAATTCAAAGAGATGCACATACCAATAGCAGCTATAATTCTTCCTCTTTAACCCTCCCACACAACTGTGGGATTTATATTTTGTGTAGGGGGTACCATCATCTATTGTTAA